GTGTGTGTGTGTGTGAGTACTGTACAGTATGGTGGAAACTCAATCTGGTGTGGGGTGATAAAGCAAACCCGCACCGCTCCTTATACATCAAGCATTCAGCTCTGTATCTGAAAAAGGCAAATATGAAAATGCTCTCTCTGTCTCTGTCTCTCTCTTACACACACACACACACACACACACACACAATACAAGCTAGGAAACCCAGCATGCAATGAGAGGATATTGAAAATGATTTTTTCCCCTCTTGTCTCTTTCATTAACAGTGTTGAAAAGCCAAGCTGCTCTCTCTCTCTCTCTTACACACACACACTAAAAAACACACACAGAGCGCTCCCCAGTTCACTGGGGAACGTGCCTCACATGGTTTGCTTCAGCTGGTCTTCTTGACAAATGCCACATTACAGCGGAGAGAAGGAGAAACTTGGCATGCAATCAAACTTCTCTCATGATTTCTAAGATTTGAAATACTTCAGTTTGTGCAGCCCCCCCATTCCATCCTCCCCTCCCTCTCATTCTCCTTCTGTCTCATTTTTTCTTGCTTTCACTCTTAACTCCCTCTCTCTCGCTCGTTACCTCTCTCTCTCTCTCTCTCTCTGCCTTATCTTTCCTGTTTAGTTTTCCCTGTGCTAACTTGGACCAGAGCTGTGCTGTGGGAATATGGCCCCTTTTAAAGCAGAAAGCCAAAGTTTGTGTAAGTATGTGCATGTCTGCAGACGTGAGTGATTATATGTGAGTTCCACTGAGGTTTTGTGTATGTTCTGCGTGCGTATCTTTGTGGCTTGCTCAGATGTAAGTCAGTCTCACAATGCTTCGCCCTTCGCCATTCAACAGTCCTTTAATCCACATCATCAGTGACCCCAAACCCCTGCCTCCGACCTCTTCATACACACACATAGAATTCAATGCACAAGGGACCACACACACACTCGTGCCCCTTGTGCCCCCCTCCATTAGCTCTTACCAGTGTAGACTTGCATTCAGTCAAAGTCTCAAACACAAAGAATCCCATCTGCTTTGTTGCTGTTTACGTCAACCAACCATCACACTAACTTCTTCCTCAGCCACCTTTCTAATGGTAATATAATAATGATTTAAGCCTAGTGCCAGTAAAGTACAAAAGTATCATTCACATGCCAGGTCAGTGAATGTTTTCCTAATTTTATGTACATACCTAGAAGCATGGATTGTGTCTGTATCATATGTAACACATTTCCTTTGCTAAACATCCCTGGTAATGTTTGGATGGTGGAAATTGGAACAGACAGGAAGATGGTTTGTATCACAAGTGCATGTGTGTGATACATTGGCAAGGGCACTCTCGGTCTCCAGCAAACTGTGCATGTAAACATACTGAAGGCAGACAGAGACGCGCACACACACATTCTTTTAGCGTTAGTGTGAACAGAGGGGCTTGTGAGGCGCAATGGATTCTAAAAGTTGTGTTTTCAATACATATGTGCCAGCCTTCCCTTTTGTACTGCACTGACTGGCTGACATTAAAGGCATTTCTCTGAGGCACATGACAACCAGATATGTGGCTCCATGCTCCTTCAATCAGAGCGCTCAAAGCAAACACACATGTAGCCGCTCCACTGACAGATCACTGAACCCACTCACACGTTCATACATACCCACTCACACACACTCACACATGGAAATTCAGCCATTCCTGTACACTTTTTGGTTTCCTTCTTCTCGAACTCTCTCTCTGTCACATACAGACATATAAATGAAAAAAACAGCTGCACACACATTTTTCTGACCCGTTGTCTAAGGCTGCACCACCTGTCCTCAATAAATGTAACTTTTCACAAGGCAGCTATAGACAGGGGCTGATTCTGCGGCTTCAAACACACCTCAGTGCTGATGTCTATATAACACTCATGCACAGACGCACATGTGAACAGGTGAGCTAATAAATGTGCCTAATAACAGTATTAGGCAAAGGTTTCTGATGCAGCAACAAAGCTGCTGCTGCTGCAGGGTAATGGAAATGTGCCTGATGAAGCACTAAGCAAATGATGCCAATGTTAATAAAAGATCCTTGATCATATACTTTTATGGGCTGGGTGTGGCAGCCACTACCACAAACACTTGTGGTTTATTTTGTGTTACTGCAGTTACCACCAACTCTTGCTCTGTATTACACATCAGGCTTTTTCTCTTCACGTAAATGCAGTTATTAATTATTTCATGGATGTAGTATACAACTACAGAGTGTGTCATTACCATTTTGTGTAGCCTAAAATGCTTTGAAAAAAGTTGAAATCTGTTGAAAGGAGGAAAATAAGTAAGGTAGATTAAGGTCAATAGATAAGATATAAATACTATGCTTTCTATATAAAGACAGATGGCTGAGTGTGCGACTAACTTCATCTCCAGAATCTCCTCCAGCTGTTTGCGTCTCTCCTGGCGAAGACTATTAAGGTGTCCATCTCTCTCGTGCAGGGACTGCTGAGTGGAGGAGAGATGCATCTTGGTAGCGTCCAGCTCCTGCCGTGTCTTCTCCAAAGCCCCCATCAGCTCCTCCAACTATTCAAGGGGAGGCATATACACACAGATTTAAACAGGATCAAAACATACCAGGCTACTATGGTTCTGTTCTCAAACGTTAGGTCATTCAATCATACAACAAGTTATATAAAAAACAATATACAAGATCTATTGCCTACTTATGCATGCAGAGTCAAACACACACCTACACGTGGATATTGCAAAGTAGTCAGATACACAACATTTGCACTTATATTTATCAGATAACATACATTTGTGTGCATTTCAGAGGGTGTGTGTGTTGGAATGATATAATGAGGTGAAATGGCTGCCTAAACATGAAAACAAAATGGGCGGTTGACATTTAGGAGCAGGTGAAATTACTGCGGTTCAAAGGTTAGTTGAATGATATGTCCGCTGACCTTTGCGCTGGAAACAAGGGTTCCCTCTTCTCTCCCACCTTTCTCCACTTATTTTTATCACACTCTCAAGTGTGGCTCTACTTTAGAGCAGTTGAGAATAATGCTCAACTCCTCAACTACATCTCCTCCCACTGCACACACATGCCCTCCAGCCATGCAGGCCTGTGTGTCCAACATGTCTGACATGCAGGATGTGACCTCAGGGCATCATTATTCTAAGACAGGAAGTATCTAATTGTCTAACAACAAGTACTTTACAATAGGATGCAGTACTAGGCAGGCTTGTTCAGATGATGTAAATGGAAGACTGTGAGAATGAACATCTTTAGTTTAATTCAGATTATTTACAGGTTTGTGATCTAAGATAGTGAAACAATAAATTCTGAAGACTTGGATCTCAAATGAACAAAGGGGAAGAAAGTGAAGGAGAAGCAAAAAAAAAGAAAGAGAGAGAGAGAAGTACTGGGGGAAAGCACTCCATGGGGTAAGACATGAAAAAAGGAATGGGCCTCTTTTATGAAGGGGCCAAATCGTTCACACATTTTCAGGACACTCTCCATCTCCGCCGGTTTACTAGGTGTGTTTCGCAGATGTCAGATAATGTGCTCTCTGACTGTTCATGAATATCACATATGGAGTGTGAGAAGAAAGAGTGAAAGCAAAGTGGGGAATACAGAAATTCAAAATTGTGGGAATGTGACAACTTTCAGTCATAACTTCCTAGAAATGTAACAAAGGCACTGTTTTAAATATCCCTGCCAACAACAACTGACCTCCAGGAGTTAATATACCCAATATCAACAAGATCATCAAACTGTCCAAAATCACAGCATGTTTAATGTTTGATGTCTTCTTTCAGGCTTAAAAGAATCCAAAGCCAGTCTTTTCATCTTGAAAGCCAAGGGTCACGCACACACAACTCGATTTACACCCACCACATGTCTATCAACCCTCATGCACCAACTGCCTACCTCCCAGTCCCCCATTAGTCCACCACCCAGGCTAGCCCTCACTTCACAATCACATCATTAATAAGGAATACAATGCATTTTAGTGAAATTAGGGACCTAATCAGCTTAGTGGTGAGCCTGTGCGTGCTAATTTAGCTCAACTTCAAGGCAAAGCCCCCCAGTCAGGCTAAGGCTCACTAAGACTGGCCCAAAGCCCCTTTAGTTGATAAGCTGATTGGGGGCTCAGAGGTAAGGGCCAAATCCCTCTTGTCCATTTGCGTCGGTGTTGCTGGTTCAAAGGCCTAGTTCAAACACCACAGAGGGGGAGAAAGGGAGAGAGACAGGAACAGTATTGAAGAGAAGGTGTGGTGATAATTGGGCAAGACAACTTAAGAAGGCAGATGGGAAACGAAAACGAGGCTCGGGACAATGGATAGACAGCAGAAATGATGGCAGGAGAAAGACAAGAGACAGAGAGAGGCACAAACGGAATGAGAGACTTAGAGAGCGGGGGTGTGAAGAAAAGTGACCCGGGGCATTACCCATGCTCCATTTCAGCAGGTCAGGCTGATGGAAGACTTTCAGCGCATTACACATCATGAGACTGATTACTCTGGGACAGAGGGGAGAAGAAAGAGGAAAATCAAGGAAAGAGTGAGGGGGGATGTGAGAATGTGAGTCTGGCACGGCGCTCTGAAACAGTGCCAGGGTCAGGTGATGCCCCAGAAGGACCTGTTCCTCTTTCTATTCCCCCAGCATCCCTCCTCACACACACAAACTCGATTTTCTCCATAGTCTGAGGCAAAAACACCAGTTGACTGAGAACTGTGTGACTGAATGTTAACGGCATGTTGACTCGCTGCCTTCTTACATGGGGACTCATGCTGGCTCACGAAGTTCAGTGTGCTGACAGCACCTAGCAGCGTGTATCAACGACTGAGCAGCTTGAGTGCCAGGCCAAATGGGTATCTTCGTGTCGCCACTGCAACTCTATTCTCAATACGTGTCAAGTGCAGTCGCCAGTATGACTGTATGCTGGCTTATTATGTTCTCTATGCGTAGGGTCTGGATCAAGTTGAAATCAGCTGGATCAAGACTATGGCTTTTGAGGTCAATGAGTGTTAACGTGTCACAAGTTAGGAAAAGATTTCCCTGACTCTTTGGCTACACATTGGTAAACTCAGGTCAAAGCTGAATCATCCACTTCTAAAAAAGCCCCACAGACATAAATATACTTTTCTTTCGGATTTCTCAGCGGATCAGAATATTGTTTGATAAACACGGTATCCATGCTGACTGCAAGTCAAGCGTGTACAGTACAGACATTGCAAAAAAGAGGAAAAAACAAGCCACAGTTAGCATTGGCTCTCACCGAATTTTCTAAACTCAGTTTGACCTTTTCTTACTTTCTCGCTCTGCTCTTCTCTATCAGATTCTGTCTTTGTATGTGTGTGTGTGTGTGTGTGTGAGAGAGCTGGATAATATGTATGTGTGTTTGAGGCAATACAGCCACCATTCTGCCTCAAAATGTTAATTCTTGTTTTAACCGCAGTTTGCTCTCGTATTACTTGTGGCACTCATCAGTAATGCAGGGTCATTCTCATTCAAATGCACGCTCACACCAGGAGGAAACACACTCCCTTGCCCTGTTTTTCTTTCCCACCACAGACACACCTACACTCACATACACATGCATACGAATGCACACACATACACTTTTTTGGACCCACTTAAAGATGTAGACCGAGCAGCTGGCAGTCAGACAGATAGATAGCAGGACATACAGAGTAAAAGGGCAGCCTGTACTCCATCAAGACTACAAGTCTAAAGATGTGTTAATGAATTCTGATTGCATGCACATAAACTCACAATATGTTAAACATGTGCTCACATTTTCAAGGAAACTTAACGAGAGACATAAAAAGAAGTAGGGCGCTGGAATTATTTTTTTCAGTTTTAAATTTCAGTCTAGAGGGAGGATATAAACAAAATAATATTGTTTAGAGAATAAAAACTGAATTAAGAAGAAAGGAAAATAACAGACATGAAGCAAAAGACAACAATCCATTTTCTAATCATGATATTTTTTGTTTAAGAGCTGCATATTAAGTGACTAAGGATCATTCATTGACTACAGTCTTCCTGCAGTTACACTCTTAACCACATGGTGGTGCAGTTAGGTTCATCACATTTTCTCAGTGGTCCTTGTTGGTCCCAGGTGAGCTAATACCTGCACTCAGTTTTGAAGACAGGCCACACTGCCTCATGAAACTGTCTGTTTGTGTATGAGTGTGTGTGTATGTGTATGCTGGTCTTGAGTGAAACATTAGTTAAACCTGTCTCTGGGCCTTAACACGGTCACTCTCCTCTTGCGCCCAGAGAGCCTCCCTATGTGCAGAGGTGTTCATGCTCTCCCTCAGTGCCCTCTCCAACTCCCTGATCTGCTCCGACGTGTCCCGCATGGCATCCTGGGAAGCTGAAAGAGGAAGCTGGGGAGGAGGGTTGGAAGCGAAGTAGCAAAAGCCAGGGAGAGAGTGTTTTTCTTTGAGTATTCTTTGTTCTAAAAACTCATCGTCAAATGTTTTTGCACTAGAATAACACTGTACTGACAAAGATCATTTCAGAAAAGGTGTATTTGTCAGTCTGTTCGCTAAAAGGAATCCAAGTCCATGTAAAACAGAAAGAAACGAAAGACTTGAGGAAGTCAAAAGCTGTAGTGAGAGAAGAAGAAACACTTCTCTTAGAAAAAAGAGACACAGCCAAGACAGAAGAGAGTGATAAGTGATGGAGAGAGAGAGTGTGTAAGTGCTATGACCTTTACCGACATCCATATGAGTGTGTGCATAAGTAAGTGTGTGTGTGGAGTAGATTGTGCACATTCACATACACAGTTTGTGTGTGGCCTCTGACACCCATGGTGAGTGGGGGAAAAGGATCCCTCTCCACACTGGGTGATGGAACTGTGAAAGAAAACACTGGACAGAAATAATAAACCCCCCCGATTCTCTCTCTCATTTTTTTTTATACTTTCTCTCCTACTCCTCAAAAGTTGACTCGCCTTCAAGTTCACACGTTCACACTTTTGTGGGAGCAGCGCAGAAGCCTTGGAGTCACATGGACAAGAAGAAACTTTCAAACTGAACAAAAGGGTTCAGTTACACTCGCAAAGGCAAACTAGGAGATGCGCCAATTGGAAATTCAGCAACAAAATCCACACTCGCCAAAAACACCACATCAGAGTCGAAGTTGAAGGAAATAAAATAAAATCACATTCTGACACTTAATAACAATGGCTGCATGGGAGTGGAAACAGCAACCTGCAATCAAAATAAAATGGCAGAATGCAAAATGGGTGTTGAGAGGGTTAGAATCACCACTGGAAGTTTTAACACCACAAATCTGATAACACACTTAGGGAAGCATTAAACGAATCAATATAATAGAGTACAAGTGACAAGTAGCAAGAAGGTCTGCCGGAGCAACAAACAAGCAATGAAGGGAACTCTCTCCAGACAGCAACACAGCAAAAAAAAATGCTTGCTTTGCAGGTATATACCTAATATATGGTGCTCAATGTGAGTGTGTGTGTCTAATGTTGTTATTAAGTCTGATAGCACCAGACTATATACTATTTTCTTGTATTACATAAAAGGAGCTCAGGGCTAAACACTGCCATGGCTAACACATGGCGAATCTATTGTGACGGCAAAAGAGGATTTGCTAAATGCATGGAAAAGAGTCAAGTGAAAGGGCCAGGAACAGGCAAGATTCATGCGAATGGCTTATTAACTGCGACTAATAATTATTAAAGAGGAAAAAATTAATTCTGAGTTGGCACCCGTATAATACAGAGTTGCGGCCAGTGGCATCAAGCCAGCTCACAGGATTTATCTTCAAATTCAATAGCAAATATCAAATAACTGGGCACCTTCATGAAAAAGGCTATTCACAACCCAAAAAAAGGCTAATTACCTGACTAACTCAGTGATACTGACTGAACAGGAGCAAGGGGATGATCCCTGAGTCCGATGAAAATAGTGCCAAGCCGGCCAAATCACAAGCGGATACTTGTGGCTCGTCACGTCAGCACGACACAGCTGGAGGTGAGCGACAAACACCCGCACACACACATACAGAGGCAGGCTGTGTGCGTCAGTGGTCCAAAGCTGTAATTGGATGTGACAGACGGGCAGTAATTCGATGCACCAGAATCAACAAGTACTGGTCGACCCCGCCCAACAGACAAAAACACACGTGCGCAACTGCACACCTACACACTCATACACACACCCCTCTGAGATGGGGGCTGCCACCGCTAGACCCCCGAGTGAAACCTGACCAGAAAGCTGTGTGTGTGT